TTGGCTAGGGTGCCTAGATGTCTGTCTGTCTCAGGGTGAAGACATCCATTGTTGTCCGGAATGTGCCAGCGCGTGACGCGCTCGCGCACTCGGTGCGTGACTTGGGCGGTAAGATGGCGTCTATGCATCAGCCAAAGCTACGCTCTCGAGCTGAGTGACACCGGATTGCGCGCACTTCAAAATGCATAAAAAAACGATTGGGCGGAAAAATGGCTGAGATGTCACCACTCAAGCAAAAGCGCGCGTGTGTATGAAGGCACTCTACCCTTGGCTGGCGTGAACCATTATCACGCGAAATGTCTCCCTAATTTTAGCGCCAGTTTGGTAGATGGCGCAAGGTAGCGAAGCTTCGGCCAAAAAGCGGTTCAAAACAAATCGCCAGCGACATCGACCTGGAGGGTCACGTGAAGGATGCGATTGAAGCGCGACTAGGAGAGGTGGGGACAAACATTATTAAAATTAAATAGTTTGTGACTAGAAGTATAATCATTGGTATTTTTAAACAAGCTAAATATAATTATTAGATAATATCAATCATATTTAACGCGCTACAAAATTCAAAACTGTCTTTGTTTTTGATAATATTATGCATACTTCTTATTAGCGTCCTCTGTACGCCACTAGCAAAAAGGCCGACTAGCAATAGCGATATTTGCAGTTTTATGTAGACCTCGTGGCGCGCGGAAAGGCAGTCTGCTGACGTCCGTCTGCTTGCTTGTGTTTGGGCCTCCACGTGCTCTTCGCTTTTAATTGTTTTAGCGGCAGTTAACACCGTTTCGGGAGTTTTGTTGTTTGCTCGGGCGTGAATAGCCCAGTTACCTACGCGGGAACTCGGCTGTCGTGCGCTTGGATCTTGGACGCTACTGCGCCCAAGAGGCTCAACGTCTTTTGCGATGATAAGCACAGCGCGATACGCAAAGAAACGGTGCTCCGTGGAAATGTGTGAAAGCAACACCCGCACGGCTGGCATCTCGCTGCACCGGTTTCCCCTCGACTCTCGAAGGTGAGACTTCGCTACTGTCAGTACACCCTGCTGTGTGATGTATGCCCCTTGTTCGGTCTCCTCTTAACTCTTGTTAGTTTTACCTAAAACTATTAGGGTTGTCTGGATGTGCACAAGAAACTACACCTGAAGGCGTAATATGTTATACTAGGAATGTTTTAAGTTCAAAATCACTCTGACTTCGCAGCGTTGTGTGCCGTCATTATAAAAGTGCCCACGATATTAAAATTTACCTTTACCGGCCTGGCTCTGAGGAGCCTAGTGTCGTGATCATCGGCGTGGTTATCAGTGGTACAACGCAGATATATAATAGGGCATCTATGCGTAAGACTCGTGTTTTTACTCTTCATGATGTACAGAGAGCAGTGATGTCATGCATTTGTTAAGGTCCTTGCACTGATTTGCTTGGGTCTGTGGACATTTTGGCTACATTTTCTTTTCGTAAGTATTCATGGCACCCTCATAGCACCATGCCTTATCTTCAGGCGCGAAGCCTGGGTTTGGTTCTGCAACAACCGAAGTCTACAGGCGAAGACTCCATGGCAGCTACGAGACAGGGTAGTTCGCTCCTTACATTTCGAAGAGTCAGCTCTCCTGCGCCCTGGACACCTCCGTCACAATGCGTTGCCAAGTGTGCTTCCCACAAAAAGTAAGCAGACCAATAAACCTTCCGTGCACTTTGTGACTAAGCATGGTTAACCCGCTCTTAGAAAAATGGTTACCACATGGGGTTGAAATATTGCTTTTGTGGGCTCATAACATGTTTATATTATTTGCAGGGACGACACATGGCGACATTTCCAGCAAAAGCTCTCCAGGTTCAGCAGTTTTGCATGGTGAGCTTTTTCACTGAAACTAACATAAAGTGGCAGCAACTGCCAGCACCACTGCATTACCTCATGGTCTTTATGACTTGAGCATTTTGCGAAAGAACTAGGTGAGATTAGCTGGTAAAAGCTGGTTGAACATCGACAGAGGTACTGCTAGAAGTTCATTTCAGGCCCGTTTATAATGACATGTTTTACTTGAGGTGACATAATCAACGTCACAGAGCATCTTTTGCCTTGCCGACACCCAGTCTTCCATAATAAAGTTGCCCATGGAAGAATAAATTTGCAGAGGTGAGTGTGACGCCCTCATTTAGCTACACATGCTTCGGCAGTTCAGACTCACGGAGCTTCTGTAGTCACCCTGACGACCAGTCTTCCGAAATGAAACTTTCGTGGGAACAAGGTGATTTCCTTTGTCGTGTGTTAGAATAGACACATAGGAAGGAACTCAACTCCTATTCCATGGCCAACTTCACGCTAAATTTGCACAGAGGATTTCGCCAGCCTCATCGAGCTGCACATACTCCGGCCACTCAGACTGGTGGAGTTCCTGTAGTCACCCTGACGACCAGTCTTCTGAATTAAACCTGTCATAAAAGAAGGTGAATATACTTTTTATGCATTTAAATAGGGGAATAAGGGAGGACGTCCTCTTCTCCTTTGCTAAGTTCACATTAAATTTGCAGAGCGGATTTCTGTGGCTTCAGTGGACCACACATACTCGTGCACCTTACTAGAGAACAGTCGACTAGGGGCCAATAATAAATGGTGGCCGAATATTGCTTGTTCTATCTTTTTTATTCCCTTTTCTTTGTGAGCTTGCTTTCTCAAGGGGTAGAAACAGCGCAACTTGCCGTAAAACAGGAAACAAGGAGTATACAGACAGGCGCAGTAAAAGTACACAGAGAGGCACTGTTTCTGCCAGCTTAAATGAACGACCAACTCGTCCAACTTTCCACTTTGTTGAACTTGCTTTCTTACTTGCAGTTTTTACAAAAGCTTTTCTTTCTTTCTTTCTTTTTTTGCGGTTTATCACAGCTACGCTCTACGTCAAGATGCTGCTCCTGCTCAAGAGTCCAGCGGGGACGTGGCTGACATGGAGATTTTGGTTTCTTCACCGTCGCCTAGAGACTCTCTCTCTGGCTGTGCTGCTGAGCCTTCTTACAAATGTGAGTGCTTTCTATGATGCGAACTTTTTTCTTTTGCAGTTTTTTTTTTTTTTTTTTTTGTGAAGTTATAAAAGATCAGGCCGCAAAAATAAAAAGCCAAGGCTCGAAAAACACCAGGAGATACTAAACTTTATCTTGCGAGCAGATGACGCAAGGGGTCACATAACACCAGACCGACAAGCTGGCAGCTTCAAATCGAAGTTTGTTCAAAGTTCACCACATTTTTGTTTCACGGTATTGTCATTGTCAAGCACACAAAAAGACAAAAAAAATGTTACACACGCAGGTGTTAACACCGTCAAATCAAAACAGCTGAACCGGTTTCACTGAATCATAAGTCTTCCCGCAAAACCTCACGTAAGACAGTGTTTTTCTAAAGTTATCGAAAAGCTGCCGTGGTCATATGTGTGTGATGCTGAGCCTGTCATGGTCCCTTGTCCTATCTGCCAAACTTTAGTCGCCTGTTGTTGTGCGAGAGCTTCACTCTTACAATGCCATGGGCATAAGTAAGGTATGGTCAAGCTTTAAGAAAATGCATTTCACAGTTTGGATGCCTATTCTGACTTGCATGTTTCTGTGTGCGCCCTGGTCTTTTTGGACTATCAGGTCTCTGGCCAACATGAAGCGCCTAGTTCAACATAAAGATGTACTGTTGCTTTCCTAAACTTGAATTGCATGTGTAGCTTGTCAAACTTGCGGTTCTTGTTTAAAGACACTTCAGATCATTGAGGAATGTTCTTGAGCGTGAATAGATTACACATTTAATAAATTGATGGCGAATGCAAGTTTTTCTTGGAGACCTAATATGGGTCATTTCCCAAATTGCAGCACCCTGCAAAAGCCGCAGCATCGGCAACAAGAAGGTGAACGCCTGAGAGCCAAGGTGCGACAGCTTCAAGAGCGCAACAAGAGGCTGCGAAGAAGGCTGCAACGACAACGTCAGATGAGGACTGTTGCCGAAGTCGTTGAGAGTGTCCGAGTTCATGTGCCTCCTCGTGTCGCCGCACTCGTTGAAGCCCAGCTTAGAATGAGCAATGTGAGCCGGTTTGGCCAGAGATGGTGCAGCTACAACAAAGCCTTGGCTTTAGGCCTCTACTTTCATAGCCCCAAAGGCTATAAGTATTGCAGGCGACTGCTCAGGCTGCCATCAGTAAGGTCACTGCAGCTATGGCTTCAGCGTGTGCCACTAAAGATTGGATTTTACCCTGGCATTTTCGAGCTGATAAAGAGGCGGGCAGCTTCTTTTCCTCGAGCCGATCGGGGCTGCAGCATAGTCTTTGATGAAATGCACATCAAAAAAGAGCTTTCATGCAACCCCTCGTCTGACAGGTTTAAAAGACTTAAAGAACATAGTGGACAGCAAGGCAAAAAACTGGCAAATAAGGCTCTCATGTTCATGGCGAAAGGAGTCGTAACACCGTGGAAGCAGCCGCTTCGCTATTTTTCGCTCACAAAGGCACACCTTCAGATGTACTAAAAGATCTCTTTTTCCAGTGCTACAACGCTCTTGTGGACGCTGGCCTGAAGCCGGTAGCTGTTGTATGCGATGAACGGTGCCAGAACGTGTCTCTTTTTCAAGCATCGTAACTGCCGAAAAGCCTTACGTAGAGATCAATGGCAAGCCACTCTTTTTTTCCTTTTCGATGCTCTGCACCTTTTGAAGTGACTGAGAAACATGTTATTTAAATACGTATAAAACAATGGTGATTACATAGTGAAAAGTTCCTACATCAAGGAAGCTTATGAAAAGGACCGTAAACTTGAGATCGGTTCTATGCCAAAGCTGAAGGAGTAGCATTTTAATTTGACCTCCTCGTCAAAGATGTCGGTGAAGCTAGCAGCTCAAGTGTTTAGCAATCACTGCGCAGCTGCATTGTATGCCTTTGTTACTTCTTAGCAATGGCCAGCCACAGCTGTTCACACAGCGAGATTCGTTGAAAGAATCTACCGTCTCTTTGACAGCCTAAATAGCTCGCAGAAATCTGCAAAGACGCCATATGCCTCTGCAATCTGTAACGGCTCTATCCATGAGGAGTTTCTGAAAGAGTGCATTCTGGTTTTTAAGAGCCTGCAAGTACTCGGATGTGGAAGGCAGCCGCACTGCATTCGTGGCTTCTGCTCAACAGTTAGGTCTCTACTGCTGCTCAGCAACCATCTCACGGTTAATTGCGGTTTCACCCACCTTTTAAACCGCCATCTGAACCAGGACACCCTTGAAAACACTTTTGCTGTTATACGTTCAAAATCAGGTGCAAACACGAACTCCACTTTCCGTCAATTTCAGGCTGCGTTCAGGCACCTTTTGATTAGCAACCTATTCAAGCTGTCGGAAAAATCAAACTGTGCTGATGACATGTCTCTCCTTGCTACGTTCCCAGCAGGCATTCTGGCACCTTCTCCTCGTCTTGCATTAGGAAGCACAGTTTTTCTTACCACGGCAGACGATTCGCCTTCAAACTACCCTTTGGCAATAGGAGAGAACAACATGGTTTATTTTGCTGGGTGGCTGGCATCGACATTCCTCAAGGTTCATTCCTGTGTAGGAACATCCCAGAAATATCAGTTGAGGGCAGAAAAGCCGTGTTTTTCTGAGGGAAATCAAGTGCTCTTGTATTTGAGTGTGAAAAGAACGGCCGACTCCCACTTTGGAATCCTCTCAGTTCCTTCTGCTTCTTTCATATTATTTGTTGAAGCTTGTGAGGAAGTCTTCGAGACATGTATCAACAACCTAATTTCAAAGGAGAACGTAGGGCGCACTCTTTGTGTCCTTTTTAACCAGAAGATTTCAAAGTCTCTGACTGTATGTGACGAAAGTGTTTATGATAATTTGTTTTCTCTGATTGCCAGAATCATTCTGCGCTGGTTCGCGCGGAAAAAAAATGCTGACTATTTGATGCAGTTGCAAAGTGTAAAGCTAGGCAGCAAGTGCGCAGACTACGTATGTGAGACCACCCAGAGTACTTTAAAAGCAGTGCAGGTATGTTATATTCGAGCCTTTCATTTTCTTCGGGTGCTTGAGGAGTAATGTAGTCTTCTAACTTATTCACATATATAGAGTTTAAATCTGTGAAGCAAACTGGCTTATGAAGTGCAGCATACCACAGGGCTCCAAGAGGGTTTACTCCACTTGGCTTCCTTGACCTGCACCAAACAGTCGATGCGTTGCAGTGTAGCAGCACCAGCAGATGCAAGTTAAGATATTTTCAGCATTATGGTACCTTGCCCAAGAAATGTGTAGAAAAGTGTAGCTTTTCTGTGTATTACAGTGGTGGCCTCATTTGTCGTCGGAACACTGTGGAACCTCCGAGTTATTAGTGGCTGCCTATCAACTGTCAATGTCCTCACAACATCCAGCCGATTGTACAATGTCTTATGTTATAACAGTGTGCCTTATGTACCGATCTACTAATTTTCTTCGACCATGACCTTTTGAAAATAGTTGAAATAGTTGTATAATTCTAGTGAGTAATCTGAGTGAATGATTGTAAGTGAATAAAACAAATAAAACGCGACTGTTAAAGCGACGTTGGACTTGCATTACAGTTACTGTTGTGTATTTTATACGCCCAACACACTCCAGCAATTTGATTCACTCTTTTTTGTGACATTACATAATTTGGTTTAAGGTTTCTCACATATTTCCCAGGGATCCTGAAGGAACAAAAAGCAAAACACTGCGGCTGGAGTTTGACCACAGTGCAAAGACACGATGGTTGTGACGAAATGAAACTACTCTCAGAGCAGGTCGGCTAACAAAGTCGGCTGCAGAAAAAACAAACATTTCGAACAAAATATAAGAGCAAGGGCGAATAAGGGTGTAAACGATCCAGTATTCCAGTATAGAGTAAACACAAGGTGTACACACCAAAAAAAAACAAAAAAAAAACCCGAGACTGCAGGTAAAAAGAACGACATATACACTAAAAATATCAAACAAAGCTCAAACACGGGGCTATGTTTGAGACTTTTTAGTGTATATGTCGTTCATTTACCTGTGATCTCTAAAATTAGTTTTGTTTAATTTTCGCGCCAAACCGCACGCACGCATGACGTCACGTTTTTTTCCGGAAGTGTCGTCATTTCCTGTTGATTTTTTGTTCCGCCGGAAGTGTCCCCACGACTCATAGATGGCGCTAAAGCAGCTCCATGGGCCGCCATTTTTTCGACATGTGGGCTTCTATGGAAGCTTCGCTACCCATGTACATATACCTTGGATGGCGTCAACTCTATCGCGCGCGCGCGATATCTCTCGCTAATTTTATCGTCATCTGCAGCTGCTGAACGGAGCAGTGTGGGAAAATGGAACGGAGCGTGGCCGCATCCATACACTAAAAATGGGACAGATATGGTGTTTCATTTTTTTTTATTCTCATAAGCTCTAAAGACATCCACACTTCTAAATACAGGTACAGCACTTAATTTTTTTTTCTGTCTCATTTTTAGCGTATGGATGCGGTCACGCTCCGTTCCATTTTCCCACACTGCTCCGTTCAGCAGCTGCAGATGACGATAAAATTAGCGAGAGATATCGCGCGCGCGCGATAGAGTTGACGCCATCTACCAAACTGGCGCTAAAATTAGGGCGACATTTCGCGTGATAATGGTTCACGCCAGCCAAGGGATTCAGATGCGCGCCATCTACAAACGGAATCGGCAACTCACAAAGCCCGGACTTGAATTGCGCGCGCGCGAAAACACGGATGAGCACGCCTTAGCAACACGAGCAATTTAACTTTTCAGCAAAAGATGTCACAAGGTCACACCCACGCCGCCAGATGTCACTCATGCCCTAGCAATGAAGACGCTCAGCAACAAAACATCACACCATCTATGAACGGAGCTGACAACTCGTACGCCTAAATCCCAGATGTAAACTGTGTTCGCGCAAAATCGAGAAGAGGAAATGCTATCTTCATTTCATTGAATTTTAAAATAATCTTTGACCAGTTCAAAGTTTTAACGCTAGGTGTTGGATACAACACAATTGGCTGGGACTGTGTAAAGTTTTACGCGCTGGGCCCGAAATTTTATCAGGGCCACTTCAGAGTTTTACGCGCTGGGGCCAGCCCCCCAAATATGTCAGTGCCACTTCACAAAACTTTACGCTTTTTTTCAGCTTAGCACGGTTCGTGAGCGTGACATCACCCCCAATTTAGCGGCACCAAGCTGGTGCTAACTGGGACCTTCACATGACGCCCAAAATTTATAGCGGGTTGAAGCTTTTACCACCAGATGGCACCCAATTTTGACGAGGACCACTTCACACATTGAACACTAGATGGCGCCTATTCCCAAAATACGCTGGGTCTTTGCAAAGTTTTACGAGCTTGCCCCCGAATTTTAACAGGGCCACTTTAAAGCTTTACGCAGGATCAACATCAATCACGGTCCGCGAGCTTCAAAATTTTACATTTCACCTCAATTTTGCGGGACCCAGCCGCTTCTATTTGGGACCATCACATGAAGCCGAAATTCAGCGGGTCAAAGACCCCATTTGCAACAGCTAAGGGGGCGCCACGAGGCTACGAGATCGCGAGCATCGTTTGAATCGCGCGCGCGCGAAATCACGTGATAGCAAGACGAGCAACGTCACGCGACCATGGACACATGACCTGCGATAATGACGCATCCTGTTTTTTAACCGTATTACAAAAGCCAAGTGCCAGGAAAACACGTGATCTGAATTGCACACACGGACAACTACGAAGAGTTAAGGTGCAACCCCACCGTGCATGACGTTTTGGTGCTTTTCCTACGGCTTATAACTTTAGTTCTATGTATCTTACAATTACAAAGTTAGTGTCAAATTAAAGAGCAGTTTTTCAAAAATGCTTTAATGTCTTGATATTACGATTATTTTTAGTTGTTAGTTAATTATTTGCCTTTTAATAGACCACAGTCTCTAATATTGAAAAAAGTATTTCTCGAGTTATAACGTCCCATCGTCCACGATATTTTACGTAAGCGTTCGGTTAGATGTAACAAAATAAAAAAGTAAGCAACGAACTGTACAGATAATGTATACTTTAAAATAAAAAATAAAATTTAAAATTGTAATTTTTTATGGCGCTATAAAAACGGAATCACGTCAACTGATCAAAATAACGAGACATTAAATTATGAAGCATCCTTCGATATTGCATTTTCCTGAACTTCCATATTGATATATTACACGTTAAGAATGTTATAAGACCTCAAACTTTTCCCATTCAGTTAAGGCGAGTTGCAGTTTCTGAATATAAACTACAGATGGCGACACGTGTTCAAGAACAGCTTGATGTGCATTTTCTGTCGTGTGCCGCTTGGAACGCCACGTGAAAGACAGAAAAAGCGCCAGATGTCAAGGTGTCAGATGTCTGGATGCCCGCAGTGAGCGAGCCAGAGATGTGAGAACAAGCGCGAGGCTGCTGGTGCGCCACAGCTACTTTTTCGCGCGTTTTACTGTGCGTCGGTACACCTGCCCGACGCGATCCAAATGAAATGGGCGCCATGAAATGCATTCTGCCATTTCAGATTCCGCCACGTATGCGAAACATTTTAATGTTTTTATCACTTGCATAAATAATTTCCGATATCAAACTATGCTTGTCGGAATGGTTCGACTAAATTTTGTTTCAAAAACCACTTCGGTGGCTCTGAAGTGGCAATGACATTAAAACGTCTCAGTTCCTCTCAGCCAACGGGCTGGCCCATGAATCTATATTTGTCGGGTTTAAATATCGGCCGAGGTACCCGCAATCCGACGGAGGCCAATGTGAGATTTCGGTTGCACGTCAAAAGATCTATGGTAAGTCAAAATAAACCCGCAATAATTATTTTTTTATTTTGGCGTGCTAAGTGCTTTTTGTTGGTTTGGCTTGTGAAACCCTAAGATCTGAATATTTGCTTTGCTTTACCTTAGTTCGGAGCGCAACCAACGCAAATGGCTGATGACGCCACTGAAGCAGCGCCAAGAGCGCGAAGTTAAGCTGTTCGTTCTCTTTATGTGCCTATGCGGTCGGGCTAAACTAGACCCACTAAATAGCCGCCTAGGTGGCTCCGAGGCGAGAGCGCCGGCCTACGGATCCCCAGGTGGCGGGTTCGAATCCCGACCGAGGTGCCCGCAATATGACGGAGGCTTATTGCGGAGAAGGCGCCGTGTAACCGAGCTTTCGGTTGCACGACAGAAGATCCGCAGGTGGTCGAAATTAATCCTCAGTCCTCCGCTGGGTGGTGCCAGATGCCCGCCGTAGGTTTGGCACGTAAAACCCCCAAATTTGACTTTAGACCCACTAAATAAGCTACGTTTCATACAGATATAGATGCTTAAAATGATGGTTGTCAGTTATCTGAAGCTTTATCTGAAATCACAGGAAACGCTTTTCCGTCCTCCACAAATGTTCAAACAGTTGGCGACAAAGCAAAGCAATATTACGTGAGCTTCCTGACATCGAAACTATTGCTGAGGAAGTCGCACTTTTGAATCATGACGACCTGCAGTTGCATTTGATTTGTTACTAACCACCAACATGGCGGCGCCCAAAACAATATCGGGGGAAGAATTGCCGATACTCTAAATGTAGCTCATTTGGTCTAGCTCACGGGATAAATTGGAGAGTTCTAGTAGATCGTTCCCATGACTTCGATAACGATATCCCGATACTCCGCCAGCGCCTCCCTTGCGCATGCATAGTATCGTTATCGGGGCTATCGGAGGTATCGGAACGATCTACTAAAACTCTCTATTAAGTGCGGTGGGGATCGTTGGCCGAATGTGTTGTGGCACCGCAGATAAGAGCACGTGGAGAAATGCTCGAGTGCGAGCTCCGTTCAAAGCACGGAGCTCCCGCTGCAGAGCGTGTAGGGACTAAATCCCCTCAATGTATTTGCGTTGATCTTTCAAATAACCTCAAAGATGCCAGTGCACGAGGCCCGTGTCTCGACCGGCCCTTGGACACAAATGGCGACGCAGCACTAATAGATTCGAGTTGCCCGTGTGGAACGTGCGCCACACGGGTAACTCGAATGTCATTTACAACGAATGACATTCATGTGATCAACGAATCGGCTCGCGATCTGTCGCGCGTGGAACGCCCCACACTCGGAGTGTCGCGCGCTGATTGTCTGATCCTTCAAATGTCATTCGTTGTAAATAGAATTCGAGTTGCCCGTGTGGCACGGGCACCGTGGGCACGGGTATATAATGACTGGCCCTTGAAAGCGAATGGCGGCGGAGTGCCCGCTCGTGGCACGTGTCTTGCGCGTTTTTACAATAATGGTTGGCGGTACTTGTATCGTAAAAAACGCCTTTATCAAGGGACCCTGGGTTCAGTCGCCCATCTGCATCCTACCGTCGTGCGATCGTGTATCACATATACGCGTAATGCACGTTAAAGACCCCGAACTAACAGTTGCACTGCACTTTTTATAACCTTCATCGGGTAACAGTGTCGTCCTACAAAACTGCTGCTCTCTAAAAAACTAACGACTAATTTTGAACGCGCCGGTACATCGCATTTTTAATGTGTGTTCGCGTTTCTTTTTATTTTTTGTCACCATTTTTAATTATGTGGCTCTTGCTTATAATGAAACAGACTATAGTTGTCAGACTTCTGGGAAAATATTATATAACTAAGAAAATGGCACGTGAACGTAAAAATAAAAAGAGAAAAAGAAAAACGCATAGGCGCACCTAATAAAAATAATTAAAATAATAGATTTGATTATAATTGTGCTTTCAAAGGTTTGAGCACCCCAAACGCTATAAAAGCGAGCTCGGTGCTTTGGATGGTGCGCTTGTTCACTGGGAGTGTAGTTCAGGACAGTATACTCGCACTTGTATGTTCCGCTTCGCTCGCAGGATAAAACCGAATACTTTATTGGTAATGTATTTAATGAGACAAATCTTACCTTCTGTATATGTGCAATGCCCTCAGTTTTTGCGTGATTACACGCTTGTTTATCATTATTGTTTTCGTTTCCCACAGCAATTCAGTTCGTGTTCATTTGTGTGCTTCATGAGGGTCCAAGGGTCCAAGGTAACCTAAGAGCATTCTTTTTCGCGAATTCTAAAAAAAAAAAAAAACTGTGCAATTTGCCACGTGTGCCACAACCAATAGAAAATATTCTAAGCTTCACATATGGCCGCTTGCCTAACTAAACATTGTTTTTTTGTCAAAAACAATTGCGATCATGTGAAATCACGTGGGTAAAACTCGTCCTAACACGCGACCGTTGGCATGCACTGAATACTCATAATCGGCGCCGAGATGATTGGTGGCCATCAGCAGGTGGAGTTTTTCTGCCAACCCAGAGTTAGAATGTTTCCTTCTTTCTGTTGTAAGCAATCAGGAGACAACTTACACCAAATCTGAGGGTAATAAATTACTATCAGCATTCAAACACAATGGCCTGAGCAGTATATGTGTTCAAGCTTTAGCTTTTGATGCACCCTTAACTTTCGACACGCTAAACGCTAGTGTAAAACGTAGGGCTGTTTCATTCTTAATCAGCGTACCATGTGCGTGCTTACACTATATTTTATACGTCAAAGCCTACCCGTTTGCATCGTTTTCATTTTTGCACACCACTGCTTGCGCGCATGAATCACCAAATTAAGACTGGCACAGGATGTCACAAAACAATTTACAGAGTTTTTTTTTTTTTTTTTACCGCAAAAATAAACTACGCATTGCCTAACCCTCATTCTCCGCCCAAAGGTAGCGCTAGGTCACATCCAGGGGTGCTATTCTGGTCGCAAACGGGTACCTTTCGAGTTGTGACGTATCGAGAAAGAAGGGGCGGAGCCTCAAACTAGAATGATTCTTGTTTGAGGCTCCGCCCCAACGTTCGGGTTCACGCACGCGGTCAGCTAGAATCTG